GCCAGCCTGAAGTACATGGCAAGACCCTGTCTCAAAAAAACAAAAAATGACACAAGAAGGTATTCCTAGGGCTGGGTTACAGAATACTTGTCTGGTGTGTGCATGTGCCCATGCACGCGTGAGCGCACACACACACACACACAGCATTCCTATTATTAAAAAAAGTACTTTCCTTGTTTGTCCACAGATCTATATACATGTCTGAATAAGACCGGGCAAGTAATAATAGATACTCTTAGACTGACATCAAGACAGCTAGTCATAAGCCACTTGTCAACTATGTTTCTCGATCTATAAATCAAAAAATTGAACTTGTCAGTCTGTAAAAGACCCTGAACATTTAAGATCCCGAATGAGAGATCTATACAACATAATTTGTAATATATATATAAAATAAAGAAGAAACATGAAACTGGTGTCTGGCTTTACTGACTTGGGGAACAATAATATCAGTTACTGAAAAGGGGAAGTCAGGGAGGCTTTGATGAGACGTAGAAATTAAGAGTTCTGAGGGGCAGGGATTTAGCTCAGTGGTACCGCATCTGCCTTGCAAGCGCAAGGTCCTGAGTTCGATCCCTGGTACCTCAAAAAAAAAAGAGTTCTGTTTCAAACATATTTACTCTGATAGCAAAAAAAAAAAAGATTAATACTGATTAGGCACAGGGGCTGGGCATGTGGATCAGTGGTAGGGCTCTTGCCTTGTATGTACAAGGCCCTTGGTCAGATCCCCAGCACTACCAACAAAACAAAAACAAAAAAACACTGATTAGGCACAAACTGTGCCAGGCAGTATGGCACAGGGTGGGAAGCATTGGGCTTTGGCTGGCCAGGCAGATGTGGAGAGATGAGAAGACACAATTCTAATTAAAAAATATTGGTAGCTAGATCTAGTCATCTCTAAACAGGTGCATTCCTGAACTTTTGAAGCTACATGTGCCAATAAATTTTATTTTCACTTAAGCTAGTTTGATCTGATTTCCTGTTCCTTACAGGTGAAAAAAATTTGAAACAATTCCCTGACCCATAACAAGAGAAACCAGTAAATTTTCATTTTTGGTAGGAGAAAAGTACAGTATCTCAAATTCTGTAGCCATTTGATTCTTTAAAAAAGCATTGGTTCTTGTATCTTCATTCCAAAATTTTGCTGAAATTACTTTTACTGAAATCCTTACTTGGGACTGGGATACAGCTCAGTGGCACAGTGCCTGCCTGGCAAGTTCAAGGCTCTGAGTTCGATTCCCAGTATCAAAAAAGAAATCCTTACTTAAGCCTTTCCAGAAATAAACTCTGAAGGTTAGATGAATGCTATCTGATTGCTCTGATACAGCAGTGTAACTGGTTTGTTTACTGAAAGCCTGCCTTGAAAATAAGCAACTATTTGGTAGTACCTAAAGCTGGGGGGATTAAAGTTTGGATACTATACTGCATCTAGTTTCTCATGCTGACTTGAACTTACTTTACTGAAAGCATGTCTTTTGTTCAATTATATATTCTGAATTAAAAGGTGGTTCACTGGATCGATATGATTGGGATCAGCAAGTGCCAGAGAGAAATAATAGGCTTCCTCTAATCTTTCATTTTTAAAATTAATTAATTAATTGATTTGTGCCAGGAGCTTTCTAAGCTTTCATTTTAGAGGGGGGTAAAAAGTCAAAAATTAAACCATACAAAAATATCTCTTTATACAGAAACTGTTTTCCTGATCTTACATCAGTTACCAAAGCTTGGTCTTTTCAAATCAGCTTATTTGCCCCTGATAAGAAACTTTCAGGGCCAGGGATTTAGCTCAGTGGTTCTGACGCCTGCCTCACAAGCGCAAGGTCCTGAGTTCGATCCCTGGTATCAAAAAAAAGAGAAACTTTCACTGTTTCTGGTTGCCTGTTGAAGTCACATACTGGCAAATGAGAGAAGAATTGGCCCTAAGGGTAGCTCCTCTCTTCAATAAGAAAGTTTGCTTACACAATTATTTTAAGGAAGAAAAACTAACGTAGAAGAGGAAAAAAAATTTTTTTTTCCACATTGTGGGTTGTCTTTTCACTCTGTTGGTGGTTTCTCTTGCTGTGCAGAAGCTTTTTAATAAGATGAGATCCAAAGGGGAAGGAGAAGTGGGAGGTGTAGGGGAAAGGAAAGAAGGGAAAGGATTAACTATAAGAAAAGGGAAAAATGGAAACAAAGTCTTTGTAAATAGGGAGGGGTGAAAGGGTTGAAAGGAGGGCAGGAGAATGGGGAAAAAAATAAGAACCAAAATATATCATGTAAAGGTACAAATCCCCAATGATGAATGTCATCATATTGTATACCTACTACCAATAAACTTACTGAATAAAGAGGGAAAAAAATGGAAAAACAAGACAATACTTCAGATTCACTCAGAATATGTAAAAAAATGACATATGATCAGAAAGTAGATGTTATTAGTACTGCTAATAACAAAGAGGATGTGTTGTACTGATTGTACTGATGGATTTCATGGTTGGAAACTTGTTAACAAATAAACAAACAAAAAAAGAAGTGGATCAGGAGGGCCAGAATTTAGCTCAGTGGCACAGCACCTGCATGGCAAGTGAGAGGTCCTGAGTTCAATCCTCTGTACAAAAAAAAAGTGGATCAGGAGCCATCAGAAAATGAAAGACTCTGTCTCGCCATGCCATGATCCAAAAGGAAGACCCTCACTGAATGCTGAGCAGTGATCAGCACCATGCTCTTGGACTTCCTAGCCTCGAGAACCATAAACTAAACATACTTCTGCTTTTTACAAATTAGTCTGTTGTACTCACCACATAGGAACAGAAGATGTACTAAGATACTTACCTACAAGACTTTAAAGAAAAAAATGAAAGATTAGCAGATGAGAGGGTCATTAAACGTGCACACTAAAGAACTGACTGACATGAGTAAAATTCTATTCTTTTACACAGGCTTAAAAGTTTTACTTAATAGTAGTGATATTAGTAAAATATTTGCAGTTGACAAAGCATCTTTCACCATCATTTAATTATCACAAGAATTTTGTAAACGAGGTATTATTTTGTAAATCTAATAATTGGCTAATTTTATATTGTTATATGTCAAGTAAATTAAACACATCAATAATGTATTAAATATATTTAAGAACTTAGTCCAGGACTATTTGGCTAAATAGCAGAACTGGAACTTGAAATGAGATTTCATTACTCCAAATCCAGTGCCTTTTCCCTTACCTTTCCTGGATCACTGGTCTTCATGAGAGACTAGATTCCTTAAATACTTGTGGCATTACTCAGAGTAAAATTAAATTAGTAGCGGTTTACTGATGACCATTAGAAAATGCTCACTTACGTTCTATGAACCTTTTAAAAAGGTTATTTACCTACACAGAAAAGAACTGGGCTTTGGCAATTTCCTTTCTGGTCAATGGGCTTTGCCAACTCAGTTCAAATGTGAGAGGAGAGCAGAGAGGAGATAAAATAAGAGAGGGAGAGAATCACAGATTCAGAGGTGGAAGGGATCACAAAGACTGTCTGGGCCATTCTTTCAATTTTAGGAGTAGAAATGACTTCCCCCAGTGAGGTAAACAGCAGACTAGAAGCTGCTGTCCATTCCTCCCCAACTTTGTAGGTGAGGATAACTTGAGCTCTGGCCTATTTCCTGGAGTTCTGTACAGCACTTTCCTGATCCTGGCTCTCTGTCCCTCAACCCTACCTTGCCTGTCAAAATCCATTGAGGAAAATATGATGTCCTTGGGGAATGAGGATTTTCCCTGTTTTTTCTTTTTCTTTTTTTAAAAGATAACTGCACTAAATATTTACTGAATTTCTACTAAGTTGATGTTGTAAAGTGTATAAATATGTAGGGACAGGGATAACACAAAACATAGTCTTTTAAGAATCTTCTTGTAGGCTTGATATGGTGGTGCACACCTATAATCACAGCACTCGGAGGGCTGAGGCAGGAGGATTGCTGCAAGTTTGAGGCCAACTTGGGCTGCATAGTGAGTTCAAGGCCAGCCTGAACTACATGGGGGGACCCAGGCTCAAAAAAACAAAAACAAAACAAAATCTGCTTGTTAAGGTAATTTCTAAATAATAAAACTATTACAGAGCAGTTTCTAGATCAGTGGTGCTCCATGAGAAGCTGATACACACTATGGGTTTGCTCCCCAGAAAAATCCAAACATTTCTGCATATATTCAGGAAGTTAATGGCTCCTTGAAGCCAGTCCACCCTCAATCATGAGTCAGGAAGCTCTATTATAAGAGATTCATTAAGTACTGCCATATAAAAATTATCTGAAGAACCAAAACTGAGACATTCAAATAATCCTTTTCTTTGATGCAAAATGAATAAGCCTAACATACCAAAGCAAAGAAACTGCTTTCCCTAGTATTACTGGAATGTCCCTCTACAAGGACCTATTTTTCTGTATCTAATTTTGTGCATGTTTTATTCCCTAAGAATGGTTTGTCCGCTTTCAAAGTTTCTGGAATAGCCTTTTCATATATATTTATATATAAAAGGCACAGATAAACTTCACTAAAACCAGACGAAACACTGATTAGCTAATGAATTATTCTTTTTCAATTTTTTAAAATCTAGCTTGGAATGTAGTTTCTAAGGCTTTGATGCCAAAGGGAGTCAAGTCATTAAGATGAGCTTTGCAGCATGAGCACTTTCTTCTCTATTAGAAAAATTACTTATATTCTTTGGCATTTAAATTAATATTTTAACAAAAAGGGAAATGCTGATGTATAACAAAGCCTTCAGGTTTGTCAAGAATAAATCAAAAGGATAATTTCCTCTCTTCATATGGAATTATTGATATTAAATGTATTTGAAATCTAAAATAATGAAGCTCATGTTACAAAAAATAGCTGCACTAAGACATTTCTGAGTGTCAATGTAAACTGTCATTAGTATAAATGACTATAAATTAAATCATACAGGAAGGACACATTTCTCTTCAGTAATGACATGTTAATGAAGCAGGAGGTATTCAAAAGATCAATATGAACATATACATACCACAGGTTGTTTTGTGATATCCACCAAGTCTTTAAGATTATAATATTGGTGTTTTTCAAAGGCTGAAAAGAGCATGTCTAGGACATGTTGTTTATCTGCTCGAGCTCTCTTTCCATCTTCTTTCTTCTTCCTTTCATATTCAATCTATATGCAGGAAAAACAACAAAGCAAAAGAAAGGCATCAACCTAACACGCTTGGAAACACAGGCATCTTTGCCAGTCATCCATGAACTATTAGATTTGCTGTTTTGAGGGACAGCCTAAACAGGGGCCTCAAATAGGTGTCCCAGAACCTGAGGTCCTTGTTGTTCTTGGGACTCCATACACCTTTAAGGCTCTAGGATAGTAAAGATGCCACTACAAATTATTTTTAGTATTTCATGTAGATTTGTGCAATGTGCCCATTAGCCCCCAAGCAGGCTTTCTTTCTAGTTCCCTATGTTGAACAGAAACTCCAACTTGCAGTTCCTTTGTTTTTGATTAACCAAGATATAGTAAAATAGTTTATGCACTAGATGTAGTTTTGTAGGTAACACATTTCAAGTGCGGAGTTCTTAGAGGCAGGCAGATCATAGAACAGGTTCTCTAGGGATTAAGAAGTTTGGGAAGCACTGGTAATAAACAAGGGACATGGGCAGGGCCAGGAAGCCTTTTCTCATCTTGACCCTGTGCTGAAAATAGATCTTACTCATAATCAGAGACTTCAAATTAGTGGATAAAGGTAACTTTGCCAACATTGTCTTTCAATTAAATAAGTTTAGGAGCCAGACAAGGGAGAAGAACTAACTTAATCATCATTATTTTTTTGATATGTACACCTTGGGAGCAAAACTCAAAACCCATGTATCTCTTCAGCCAATTAACCATGGACTACGTCCCAGGGACTGCGCTAGGATATAGGCAAACAAGAATCTTCTCTTTTAAAAAACATCCCTTTCTTAGGGTTCATGTATTAAAAATGTGTATAACATTTTAAATGAAGTATCAGTAGACTACAGAACGAACTAGGACAAGATCATGATGCTGAAATAACGAAAATGCATGACACATATTTGGGAGGAGTGAAATCCAGCCAGCTTCAAGATTTTCTGGGTGAGAATAGCATAAAAGAGAACAACAAAAAAGAATACATGCTTTCCTCTAGGGTCAAAAGAAGGACAGAAGAGAATGGTCATACCGAGAAGAAAGAAAGCATGATAGTGCAGGATAAAGTATTACAAAGTCTTTGGATAAAAGAATGGAATATTGGGGCCAGGGATGTAGCTTAGTGGTGCTGCGCCTGCCTGGCAAGGGCAAGGTCTCGAGTTTGATCCCTGGTACCGGGGGGAAAAAAAAGTGAAATTGTGGAATAAGTCTGTTGAGCTGCTCTTTGCTAACCAATGATTGATTACAACATATTATTCTTCCCTGTTAACCTTTGTACTGTACTGGAACAGATTTATGTTTTGGATTGCACTGCAAAGCCCAATAAAAGGACCTGAGGAAAAAGTACGCAAAAACCAGGTGTGAAGGTGAAGATATTATAATCTTCTACTCTGGTTGAGTGTGAAAAAGAGAATCTTTTTTTTTTTTTTTTTTTTTTTGGTACCGGGGATCAAACTCAGGTCCTTGCGCTTGTGAGGCAGGCGACAGAACCACTGAGCTAAATCCCCAGCCCACGAAAGAGAATCTTAATTTAGGATCTAGAAAATAAAGGAAGATGGAATCAGAGGAGACAGGGAAAATCTAAGGTTCCTTTCCTAAGGGTTGAGTGCATTGTGAGATCTGATTTCTTGCTAAGGCCACTGGTCTCCAATGCAAAGAAAGGGGGTACCCAGAAGAAGACTGGGGCTAGGTTTTTGTGTTGTCTGCATGAAGCTAGGGCTGCAAGATACTCTGTCTTCGCTCCCTTCCCAGCTTTAACTAATTCTGAAAGACAGAAAAAGTTAAATTTAGGAAATGAAAGGAGTGATGGTATATACAGTTTCTACCCTTAGAAGGCTCTTTCTTGTGTAAAATGATTGCAAAAGCTAGAAAGACAATAGAAAAAAATGTTTTCAAATAAACATGCTGGTAAAGTAAGTGGCCCACTTTTGGCAGGGCACACATTCTAGTTGGGACTGGTGAGAAAAATTTTAAGTATTACCAAGTACCAAACTCAGAGGCAAGAGGGTCTGAATTAAAGGTAAAAATTTAGAAAGGAACTTTAAAATTAATACCAGGGATAAGATTAAAAGTCAGAGTATGGTGTGACTCATATTTAAACTGCCAAATTCTACCTAGATTAAAAAAATAATAGCAACAACAGGCATGAAAATATTATTCCACATTAAAGAAGTTTCAGTACTGGAAATTTAATCCTACATTCATTTAAAAATAGCAAGAAAAATACAGCATCTATTTATTATCTTTAGAGCCTGTACAATTAGATAACTTACAGAAAAGACTTTTAAAACAAAATGGGTTAAATTTTTTTCAGTGATGTTTAAGGCTCATAACCCAGATTATCTTCTGTGGTAACAGGTAAATTGCTCCAGGACAAGTGTAATTACAAAAAGGAATTTAAATTATTTTCATGGTCATTATGTTATTATTATCCAATCTTGTACTTAGGACAAAAATCAATTCACTAAAGTAATTTCTCTTTTTTATATTAAACAATACAGAAATGGTAATCTTAGTATTCTCACAATTTGGTACTACAAATAAGATTTGATTATAAAAAGCACAAATGATATGAACTAGTCTGCTTAGGAAAAGACTAGTTTTGAGATGTTACTTCTCTTTTGAACTATTTTCTCTTTGGGTATTTTGTTTCTTACTGATGTAAAGGCACTGTAAGGAAATGATACTGAGAGCAGTTAGGTATCTAACTTTTTAGCAGGCAATGTAAAATGTTACTACAATAGTTACTGGAATAAAACATTTTTTCCTCCTCCTTCAGTACTGGATATTGAACCCAGGGCCTTTGTACTGAGCTAGATAACCAGTCCTTTTTAAATTTCAAGACAGGGTTTCACCAAATGGCTCAGTCTGGGCTTGAATTTGGTATCTCCTGCCTCAGCCTCCCAGAGTGGTACAATTACTGGTGTGCACCACCACATCCATCTAGAAATAGTCTTTATGTTATCTGAATTTTAATCACTGCTCTTCTGCTTCCAGCAATAACCAACATCATTGAAATAAATGCTAATTCAGAAAGTACATTAAACTAAGATTCCAGTTATAAATCTTTACAATCCAAAAAAATCTATCATATACAATTAATTTTAGTTTCACAATAGAAAACAAATTATTCATGACTAAAATGCAACCAAATGTTGAAAATCTATTGTGGATGTAATATAGAGATGTTCAACTGTCATTACTGAAATCTTAATCACTGACTAAAATTATAAATGCCACCCACTACCAATTAAAATATTAAAATTCAGATGTCTGTAAATTTCTAGACTGTTGTTTGCAGAAATACGTTGATTGCTTTGTCAAGGCAGTCTTCGTGAAGGCTTTTAACTCCTGAAATGAGCATGACAGCCTTGACTCTCATGGTTTTGCATTTTAAATCCTTATGAAAGATAACTTCCTCATCCCCTCTACCAGTGTTTCTATTTCTGCCTCGTGTGTCATCGTCTCTTGAGAGGAAATTAATTCTTCAGAGTCGGTCAGTCCTTGATGTGCAAATTCATACTGACAAGGCATGTAGTATTCCTATACTACACAAATATTGGCAAATGTTGCTAAAAAGCCTTTATGCTATATCCTGTTGGCATTTATTTTAATCAGAAAATTCAAAACTTATGTATATATATATAAAACTTAGAAAAACATCCTCAAAATTCAACAGCCTCAGTTCTGGAGACTGACAGAGGTGGCTGCCACACTGATGGAGAGTATGCATAAAAACAAATTTTCTTTCTAGTTCTTGGTGGTTTACCTCAAGATGCAATGTAACAATTACTTCAATCATTTTTTTTTAATTTAAACTTTTCTAGTTTGCTGTCATTTCCTGACCAAGAGCTAGAAAACACAGTGCTTCAAATTCAGGAGCAGGGGGTAAGGATGATAATAAGGACAAGATAGCAAGTATTCATTATTGAACCTTATCCTCTCTTCAAAGGGAGTGGCAGACAGAACTGTAAAAAGTTCCTGTCTCTCTGGATTAGTGAGTGGCTATACATGAGGATCACCCAGGGAGCTTAAAAACCTTTAAGATAGTTGGCCTCTTCTACATTAGATCAAATCCAAAGGCATTTTCCTTCCATAAACTGTCCTGGGTGAGTGTAGTAAACAGTCTTCGCTGAGAACCACTATCTAGACAATAGAGAATATTATGGGAAAATTGTTACTAGACCACAGAACACATGTAAGAATGCTGTGAAATTTATGGAAGCCACATAATGATGAACACAAAGTCAATCAGAACACACACAGAGATTGTGATTCAGGGACAGAGATGAGGAGCCTGGAAGGAATCTTACACATTAACTACTATACTTCTTGGATTAACACCTTTACAGCGTAAAATATAAATTTTATATATGTCTTTGTAAATCATAAAAATGTGCTTTGTATATATGAATATTATAAAGTGTATACAAAATAAAAGCTTAAAAGAGATGAAATAAAATATATTATTTTAAATGGAAGCTTTAATTTGTCAAAATTACAAAACACTTGTTTGCTCTCCAAATACAGTGATCTGTCTTCATGTTCTCCATGCTTAGTTTGTAAAAGTATTGCAAACTGTGAAAGCTGCAAACCAGCAACTGCTAATATAACTTAAGGTGCAACACTAACAAGGGTCAAGGCTCACATGTCAGTGTGGTTGTGGCAGCAGCGGCCTTCACGCTACATTTCCATGATTCCCTGATTAGCTGCTTTCCAGTGGGTGTTCTGCTAACAGGAGAACAAAGGAGGAGAAAGAGACATTCTTGTGTTGGCATGGGCATGTCCTGCTGAAGTAACTTTCTTTTTATTTTATTTTTTGGTACCGGAGCTTGAACTCCGGACCTTGCGCTTGCAAGGCAGGAGCTAAATCCCCCACCCTGAAGTAACTTTCTGACTTCAACCTCTTTCCCTTTGCAACTCTAGCCTTTTCATTTTGTACTCATAGCATTTGTAATCAATTCCTTGCACTAAATGTCTTTCTACTTGAAATATCTAGA